TTATAAAGGACGACATCATCCTGACGGTAAGTTATTTCATAAAGTAAGTTTTTATTTTAATAATTAATATTTTTTTGTTTTCAAAAGATCCATTTTGGTGGGGACCTGAATTTAATTATGAATTTGAAGATAAAAACTTAAATATAAAACCTGCTGTTAAATTTATAACTGATGTTGTAAAATATTGGATTAGAGAATTTCATTTAGATGGTATTCGATTTGATGCAGGTTTGTTTTCTTTTAAAATATTGAATAGTACAAGAAACACTCTAGGAGAGAGAAAAAAAGCTATTTGCTTGAAGACTAGTTAAAACAGATTTTGAGACTGATTTCGAAAACGTTTTCAAAATTATTAATACAAAAGAAAAAAGAAACCATTCATTCATGTTTTTAAAAGTGCACTGACGAAAAAAAAAAGAAATTCGAATAATTTGTGAGTGAAGTACAACTTTTGAGTACGATTGAGATTGCAGTTATATTTGGTTATCGATTACTATTCTTTTTGATCGATACGAACAAACTTTTTATATATTATTCTTTTTTGAAGTATGACACATTTAGATCAAGTTCATTAGACAAAACGTTTTTATCTATTTATCTATATTTGTAACACATTTCCTGTTACCATCATAAAAGTAAATAGTTGTTGAAACTGATTCAGACATTTCTTTTTTTTATTAGATTGTAATGAATACTTTTATAAATTCTATTGTATTATCAATAGAGACTTTGATGATAACAGTTTTCATGCTATTTTTAGTAAAAAAAAAATGTTATTGTATAAATTAAGCTCTAGTCAAATGTTCATTTTGTCTAAAAGCCTTACATAAAAGATATATTTTTTAAAAAAAGAGTATTTCAAATGAAAATATTGATTATTGAAAAATTCAGAGGAAGAAAAAAAAAGTCAAAAAAACAATTAATTTTTGTGTTAAGCTAAACAAATGGATAATTATGATATTCTTCGTCATTTGGATTCAATTGGTCGTTCAATGCGACCATGTCAACCATTTTTTTCTCAAGCTGAATATGTACCTGAAAAAGAAGATCTGTGTAAAGAATATGGTGGTCCAGTTGATGCTTGTTGGTCATCATCATTTCATGAAACTTTAAGATGTTTTCTTGCTTTTAAAAAAGATGAAGCCGATAAATATGAAAATATGGCCAATCTTAAATATATATTTTCATCAAAAACTTTTGTTAATTATTTATCTTCTCATGATAATGAAAGATTACTTCATGATATTGGTAGAAAAGATTCAGATGCTTTTATTAAAATGAAAACAGCTATTATTCTTTTATTCACATCAGTTGGAATTCCAATGATTCGACAAGGTGAGGAACTTGGTGAAGATGGAGAATTAGGAAATAAACATGTAGAAAAGTAAATAGAATATTATAAATATTTTTAAGTTTATTTAATGTTTTTTTATTTTATAGATCATGTTTTCCAATGCCATGGAATTTACTTGAAAAAAAATTTAATGTTCATCTTTTAAATACATTTAAAGATTTAATAAAACTTCGTCACATAAATAAATCTCTTCAAGAAGATCCAATAAATTTTTTTCATGAAGATGATCAAAATAAAATATTAGCTTATTCTCGTGGAATGAATTTAGTTGTTATTACTCATTTATATAAAATAGCTAAAACAAAATATATTATAGGAAATTTTCCTCAAAATGGAATATGGATAGATTATATAACAAATGAAAAAGTTTATGTTGATGATGTTAATAATTTAACATTAGATTTATTACAATTTGAATCTCGATTGTTTATTAAACAGATTTGATTAATTGTTTTCTAATTTCAATCTCATTCTCATTATACATTGTTATGATACGTTGTTTCAATTTATTAAATAAACAAGCTATTTTCTTGTGATTATTTTTCTATACCGAACAATGAATACTGACATGTGAATAAGGAAATAGTTTTTTTTTTGGAACATTGAATCTATGTTAATTAGATTCAATTCGAAAGAGAATATTATCTATAATTGTATCGATAATATTTATATAGAAATTAAAGTAGGAAATATTTTTTGCTTAAATAATAGCATTAGTATTATACATTGAAACAATAAATTCATATTTGAAATTATTTTTCATTAATTTAAATCATATGTATTTATTTTATTTCTACATTGAGTTTGTAACGTGTAGGACTTGCCTTCATCCACACTATTAATGCAATTCATATAAGGAGAATATTTCGAAACCTATAGCACATTAAGGAATAGCTTGAATTGAAGAAAAATATAAATTTTTCGTAATTTTCTATCTAGATCTGCATAATTATGATATTCTCTTTAAAATAAAATAGAAAATTTCGATATTCATGCAATCAAAATGAAATGATTAGGAAAAAAAATTCATCGAAATTGGATTTGACTTTTTTTTTGGAGAAATCATCGCAGAAACCAAATTTTAATATACAAAGAATATTGAACATGATGTGTATAATTTAGGATTGGACTTGATTGGGTTGAATCAAAAATGTATTCGTTTTTACTAGAAAATGATACAAAATAAAGCAATGAAATTATCTTATTTATTATCGATATTTAATATAGTTTTTTTTATAGAAATATTCTTTAGCTTATACAATCTATCATAAAATGGTATGGAGAGGATGCTTAACAGTCAGAGTACAAAAATTCATTATGGTTATGTCTTCGCTTAAAATGATACGTCAAAAGTGAATAGTTCTCCTAAGATTATGAAACAAAATAAGTGGTTTAGAAATGCCTTTTTGAAGAATTTTCACATAATCTAAATTAAATTCCATAGTTGTTCCTACTATTGTGCCAGGCTCATTTGCGTCGAAGCACTTTTAAAGTGTTCTTTCGATATAGATATTTTCTTCAAATAGTCAAGACTTGAATATGTTTCGAATAGTTGCAAAATGTGTGTGTAAAGCCTTTAGTTTCTATTTCAAATTTTTGGGGTGTGGGTGTGGATCGATGCAAATATCTTCTCATCACAAACAACCACACCCTGGAAAACATTACAAAATTATTTGAATAAAATATTATAACATCCAAAATTTCGTGAACATATGGCAACGGTAAATACATTAAAATCTATATGATAAAATTTTGATTAATTTAATTAAATAGAGAAAATTTCTTGATGTAAGTTCATTATCATTTGTACAAGGTTTGGATATTAGTGTGAAAGAAAGTCCTATTGCCAAACATTCAATACGTGGCATTCGTGGTCGTTCAATATTTCTTCGAATTCCATTTATATGTGATAAACTTCAATATCAATATACACTACGATGGTTTGTTCTTAAAGACTCATACCTTGTTTATATGGATTCTAATTCCGCTTTAATTGAATTTCCATTGCTCATCGACTGTGACTTTTCTTTTAAATAAGGTTATTGGAAAACTACAACTAATAATGGAATTAAAATTAAAAATTCATAATGTTCTATATTTGTTGAATTTGAAAAAGAAGATGACCGTAATAATTGGCTTGATCGTTTGGATGTTAAAAGTAGATTTTTATTTGCTGAACGAAATCTTTTTTAGTCATATGCCCCAAGAAGACAACAGCAATATGCTCACTGGTTTATAATGCATTTTATATTCAATATTCTTACGAAATGAGTTTAACTATTATTTTTTATTGAAGAGCAATCTTAAAGAAATTTTAAAATATATTGAATGAAAGCTTCTACCCTCTACAGATCGTGAAAATTTTTCTTAAAATATACAAGCAAAAATAAAACCATCTTAATTTTTGAATTTCTCGAAGATCAAATGATAAAATATATATACTTAAAGAAAATATCTCATAAGAATTCTATGAAACAACAACGTCATAAATAATAAGAAACTATTGTTTTTTGTTGAGATATATTTGTAAATGTTCAATCATAAATAGAAGTAGTAGCTAAAGGTATATTAGTAGTATTTCACCTGAACTAATGCTTATTCGTCCTTGTGATGATGGTTCAATGCAACTTGTTAATCTACTTAATAAAAGAGCTGTATATTTTCAAGATTCTTTCTCTTATTTATTATATAAATATATGTATATATGGGAAGAAGGAATTCGTGGTTATATGCTACTATTTAATGATCCATCACTTGTTGGTTTAAATAATGAGCATACAGATTCAAAATAGATGGCTCAATGTTCAAATAAAAGAAATATAAAAGTGATTCGTTCGTCATCCAAATCATATTTTTCTGCCAGGAACTGAATAATCATGACTGTTTTCTCACCATGAACAAATTGTTTTTATTGATCAACGTATTGTTTCTATTGGAGGAATTGATCTTTTTTGGGGACGATGGAATACAGATGAGCATAGGTTTTGTTATTTAACTTCATACTTATTTCAATCATTGAAGAAAACCTTCTAACATATGAAAGTTTTATTTTTTGTTCTTGTATGATTTACTTTTAATAGATTAGTCGATTTGTGTGATGAAAATATAACGGAATTACAGCTTCCAAATGGAAAAGATGATCAACTTGAAAAAGAATTACAGAAGAAAGAAGCTGCAGTTAGTATCACAGATAAAATAGCGGAAAGCACACATGTAAGCAATATTGTAAGAATATTTTTCTTTTTCGACTTTTCAGCCTTTATTATGTATTAACTATATACCATCTATAATTTCAATATTACTCATATTTCATCCAGAAAGTCCAGTAAAATTTTTTGAAATGACTACAAAGTTGTTTCGTAAATGTACTATACAGTATTGCTTCATCTAAATTACTGTAGAATACCAGTAGTTAATAGTTGAATCAATAGAACTTATTAATATAAAGAAAAATCATAACGAAAATTTGAACTCATATAGTTTATTAATGAACTTCATTTTACAAAAATGTTCAACAAAATGTTTTGTTTCCCTTTTTAGGCTCATAACGAAATACAGAAGAAAACTTTAAAAATGCTATAAAAATAGTAATACGTTCAAAATCATTTTTTTTTTAATTTTTTTGAAGATATATATCTAAAAGATCTTCATCAAGTTGGCGATACTTTCATTGAGTTATAATGATCATGACGAAAGTTCTCATCATTTTTTAGTAACATTTGTAATAATTGTTGTGAAGTATAAAAGTTTGAGAAAGACGAGGTTGAACGACTAGCAAGACAATTTGAGGACGTGTTTGACGAAACAGTAGGATTAGAAGTGGACATTAGACAAATATCATCATCCAAATCAAATAATATCAAATTCATATTTGAATACCTTAGTTTAGTATAATAAATCACAAAAATAACAAATACGAATACAGACTTTCAATAGTAATATTCTCATGCTGTCTAATTTTAATTCGTAGCTGTCGCGAACTAATTAGACGTTATTTTTCAAGACGAAAAGTGAAAAAAATAATTTTCAGTGAAATATTCTTGGTATAGTATTGCTTTAATTATATTTGTTTTTCTCTTTCATAAAATATATTTGAATGAAATATTCTATCGCATATCAGATAAAAAGAACTTCTTCTGAAATTTAAAAGTAAACAAAATTTTTTTGAAATCGAGTTATTAATTATTTTTGATTATATCAAAAGAATTATTAATTCATATTTATTGAAACAGATGACAATGGTGAAAGAACTAAGAATAATAGCAATCTTGCAGCATCATCTGGTAAGACTTCTTTTATTGCTTTTTCTCTTCGATATAGTTCTATTTACTTAAAAATTAATCAATTTCCAAAGTGTGTTAGCCGATGCTGAACTAGAAATTTTAGCTGACAAAGAAAACATTGAACATCGGCAGCATAAACATAAAGAACGATGAAAGAGAATAATCAAAGTAAATTATTTATAAATTCTCTTGTATTTCTTATCGTAACTGATAGACAATTCACAAAAAAAAAGAATACGAAGAATCATCGAATGAAGACGACGAAATTCTACCAGAACCAATTGATGAAAAACCTAAAACAATTATTGATGAAACATCAGTTTGTAATTAAAAAAATTCGATATTTTATAGGAAAAGATTATGCAAACGCTTATGATGAAGATTTTAATAATCTTGAAAAATTTGAAGAAGATTCTCCTATTACGTCACAAATCATATTAAATATTTTATTATCTTTTTTTTTAAGACTATATCGATCGAGAAATATTTCCACGAATGTCATGGCACAACGAAGTGTTGGTTGTTAGTGAAGAAGCAGTAAGAGATTGTGCCAGACATTTCATTCAACGATGGAATATTCATAAAATAAATTTTTCTGTTTTGCTAAAAACTAGGTAGATCAATATTGCTTTAATGAATTTTCCCCATACATCTTTCCAATGAGTTACGATAATGAACAATTATTTGATTTATCAATGCTTTCTGATATTCTTGATGAAAAACTAAAAGCAATTCGTGTTGATACTCAATGTGTTCGTTCTGCTGCAGATTCGTCATGTAGCATTGACCCTAAAGAAAATTCAATACAAAATGTGTATATTCATGTGATTAAGAGTGCTCAAAATTTTATTTAAATTGAAGTAAGTTTTACCTGTTCTATTCACTGAATTTGAAAATACGAGCTTTCTTGTTTAGAATCAATTTTTTGTTTCAATTGCTAATGATACAACAATTAAAAATTTGATTGGTGGTGATGCACTTTATCGTCGGATAATTGAAGCTGCTAACAAGAAAGAAAAATGACGAGTATATGTTGTATTACCATTATTAGAAGGATTTTCAAATGAATATGCTGTTCAAGTGGTTCTTTATTGTATAATGAGATCTATTAATAAAGAAGAAACATCACTTTATCAAAGAAAATAAATTAGACGTGAAAAAGATCAATCGAATTCGAATATTATTTTGTAATTGAATATAGCAAACAAATCTTTATCTAATTTAAATTAATAGTAAAATTGTAGTCTAGTTTTTATATTGTTTGCGTGCATACCAATACTTGTCTATTATACATTTCAAAATATAGTGTGTTTAATTTTTTTTGTTTTTTTGAATAATTTTTCATGAAAACATCATAGAGAAATTTAATGCAAGTTGTGTAACTCATCATCATTTGGAAAAACATCTACATAAATGCAATTCACTAGAATGAATTAAATAATGATATTTATTTTAAGATTCAAACTGATGTGATTATAATAATTTTAAAAAATGTCAAGCTCAAAAAAAGTCTTATAACTGTCAAGCGAAATAAGTTCGAAAGGAAACAATCTTTTCTATCAACTAATTCTATTGAACTTTTAGATTAAAAGAAAAATGTCTTGAGAATATCGTTTTTCAAAAATCTTCATCAACAAAGTTACAAACTTTCAATTGCTAACAAATTAAATTTTAATACGATTCAAAATTTAAATCAATAAAAGTAATTTGCATCTAAAACGAACGATCTTGTTCAACATGCCTATATCCATAGACATTCAATAGTCTTGTTTTTAGATTGTTTTAACTAAGTTTTTTGATAAAAAAAGTAATGCTAAATAATTTTCTTCTATTTTATCTTAAACCAAAAAACATTACAGTTTTTTAAAGTGTTGAAAAATTTTCATATACAGAATTCTATAAAAAATAAATTAATTATATTAAAAAATATGTCAATTGATGATAAACTCTTTTAAATAAACATCGTGCATTATTTTACTCAAGTTTTAATATGAAAGATCACTAAGGTTTACAATCTATTTCATCAATGATAATATTATGTCAACTTTCAAAAGTCTCGAAAACATTCTGTTGATAAAGAGTTAAACCAAATTAATTTGTAATGATATGGTGATAGTATTTTATTTTTATTGTAACATGTAATAATTAAGTTTACATGAAACTAATAAGGCTTAAAACAAGAGAACAACGGAATGATGTTTTTGTAGAAAAATGATTTTGAAATAACTAAATTATAAGAAATGGAAATATATATGAAGCTGACTAAACTATCTATTCTCTTTGATTAAAGGACAGTCATATGGTAATCATAAGCAAAAATGGTAAAATCTTATAAGATGTCAACTTAATTCTGGGCAAAACTTTAGACCTTTTTCATAACACAGATTTAGTTTTCTTTTTTGGTTAATATTATTTATTAAAATAGGTTTATCTAATCCTAAAGAGTATATAACATTTTATGGAATGCGCAATTGGAATAAATGAATGGGTACATTATAATTATTTTATTTAATGATTACAAAAAAATGAAAACAGAAAATATAAATGATCGTTCTCTTCAAAAGTTCTCGAGATTCAGAATTTGGTTTAGTTGTTGAAGATGATGAAATGATTTATTCACAATTAAATGGTCAAAAACAAAAAGTTGGAATTTTTTCGTCACCATGAAGAAAGAAATTACTTATGTTTGCTTTAATCTAATATTGTCATTAATATATTTATTAGATTTTTACAGACAATTATTGGGTATTAAAAATGAACAAGAAATGAGTGAATTTTTAATACTCTACTTACTAATCCTGTTAGAACTTTTTACCAAAGTTACTGAATATACTCAGAAATCAAAATCGAGAGATACTGATCTATCAACAGTAAGTTTTATTTTCTTTATTTAGTTTTTATTTAAAAATATGTTTACTTTTAATTAGGGCACATGAAAAATGTAAACAAATTAAAGGTTTTGTCATCGAATTTCCCTTGGAGTATGTAGCTGATGATGTTCTAATGTCAAAATAGACAACAAAAAAAAAGGTTTAATTTAATTTGGAATAAAAAATCTCTTAAATAAAATAAATTTATTGTCATTATAGATCGGATTCTTATGTTCATATGGGCGTAAAAAATAATTCGATCAATCAAGCTATTTTGTAGAAAAAAATTAAAAGTTGATTGTTTTGTTTAAAGATAAAAAAAAGATTAGATCTTATGTTTGTTTTTTATCAATGTGTTTTAACTTTTATTCACAAACTGACTTCATTCACAGGTGTTTTATCTATTTTTAATAAATAATTTAGGTAGAATAAATAAATGTAGATTATGAGGGTGTAGGTGTGAGTATGGCTATTTAAATTCTAAGTTCCCCCCAGAAATCCCCGCATACCCACACCCAAAGACAAGTAGTCACGAATAAGAGAATCAACTAAAGAGAAAAATATTTTGACAACCTAAGAACTAAGGATAGCAAGCGTTGTGTCAGTATGATTTTGTAAGATAATGTTTTGTGAAAGCGGCAACGCGCTAATAATATTTAATTCACTTCATTTGTTCTATTTCTCATGTAGTTTAATCAGCATTCCTTGATGTATTTAGACCAGTTGCATGCAAGGATTTTGCATCGTTTGAATAATACTTTGGAGCTATTCAAGATAATATTATCTCTCATTGTTTGGATATCTTAGCAACTAGTTTTCGGCGACATTTGTCAGAGACGACTACCGCACAGACAGCATTACAGAAGAGGGCTAGCTTGAAAACTGAAGCGCTTATTTGAAAGTTATTGTTTGTACTGAGAGATTGCATTCTTTCACCGTCACTGTTTACATATAAATTCGCTGCGAAGCACACAACGATGTTAGAGTGGATGTGGATGTAAGTCTTATATTAACCACGCCCACACTCACACTCAAGAGATCTTGTTTCAGTTCAGCATATTCATAAGTTATTTTTGTATTGCATTCAATCTGCTTTCAGTATAGATTTGTTTGGGGGGGATTGGCGGAGTGGCAATATGTTCGTTTCTCGAGAATCGGTATCATGTTCGAGCCTTCCCCCCCAGGGCACCAAGTTTTAAATAATTCTGTTCTGCTCTACACGTCTCANGCATATATGCCTCAATTGTTTTCAAAAGTTCAGACAAATCTAATATGATTCGATGCGCCTTTTTGCAAGGAATCCGAATATGGTCTTAGATTTTATTTTTGGCCTTGTTTTGGTGTACAAAAAGACTGAAAACTGTTGGGAAAACCGTGAGAAAAACACGTTTTTTTCGTTTATAGTGCTTATAGTATTTTGAGTCAATCTCCATCAAACTAAAAGCTTTTTAAAAACTTTTTTATCAAAATGCTTAGAATTAAAAGCTCTACAAACGCTGAAAATTTCATCAAAATCGGAGAGCACTTTTGTATGCATGGTTGAGATCCCATGGAAATACTCTTAAAGTAACACTCCTAGTGGCCGGCTACGATAACAAGGACTCATAGACTATCAAAGTCGCCAGGCCACAATGTTTTTCGAGAATATTCTATTATTTTCGCCACACTCTACTTTCAGGACTGAGTTAAGCGAGGCGTAATGGCTGACGCACTACTTGTAATTTGTGGACAAGTAATATGATTAGAGATTGTTCTATATCGAACACATCAAACGTTTTCTCGCTCGACTGAAAACATAAATCTAACTAACGTCCTCACGCTCAATTTGATTCTTTCGAGAATCGAGACAAAACCATCTGAAGATATTAGTTTCTCAAGTGAAATGTTAACATCATGGTTGCTTCACTCACCCTCACATACTCAAGATAGTTTCAATGTAGCTCAACAAAGGGTCGTCAAGGGGATTAAAATGAGAAACATATGCAAGTATAGATGGGTGTGGGTGGATGTGGGTGGGTGTGGGTGTGGATGTGAATCTTTCTCTTCTTGCACACCCACACCCACACCCCATCTCTCTGATTTTTGGCTTGAAATAATTAGAGAAATTCTGACGAAGTACGGATCGCAAAGACCGACTACCCTTGGAAGACCATCTACAAGAGATTCGCCTCTTCGTCTGACCGCTCGACATTTCCCTTCGCTTATTTCGCAAACATCGCAATCAAAACAGCCTCAAAGGAAATGTGTTGTTTGCACATCTCATAATATTCGACGTGATACGCGATATATTTGTTCTGATTGCAATGCACCTTTATGTATTGTTGATTGCTTCAAGGACTACCACACAAAGATAAACTACTAATGATCTTTGACACAAAAATATATTTTGTTTGTAAAGAAATAAAGACCATATTTTAAATTTTCTTATAGAAAGTTTCGAATTTCGCACAAAAAAGCCGGAACTCAAAGGGTTAAAATGTATCTCTTTTAAGAAGCTACGATCTGTTACACATGAAAATGTCCAACAATTATTATTTGAATATTTTCAATTGGGAATCGTTCTCAACACTTCGAAATTCTATTAGTGTTTCCACTCAAAATGATGTGTACCGGATCCAACTTGTTCATTGCAACCATTACCTAAATAAATATCGGCACTTGTACCAGGTGGCACAATCACCTCAAGCTTCACAACATCATCTGTAACACGCCAGGCAGCCTTTGCATAACCGAATGGAGTTTCAATAGTAGCTGTAGCATGTGTAAGGCTGCTGGTAACGAGTGGTGCTACACGGAAACGACGGTAACCAGGAGCAATCGGTACTAATCCGGCAATACCTTCTTGAAACCATCCAGTAACAGCTCCTAAACTATAGTGATTTTGTGACGCCAAAGCCTTTCCATGTTTGTCGTATCCTTCCCAGGTTTCCCATATTGTTGTAGCACCTCGTTCAATTTGTGACAGCCAAGACGGTTGAGTGTCTTGCAAGAGCAAAGTTATTGCAATATCTGGACGACCGTTTTCTGCGAGTACATGAGTCAGCATACCTGTACTCAAGAATCCTGTTCCAAGATGATTATCATTCTGCTCGATGAGTTCAACTAGGCGATTGAGAGCGGCCTGACGCTGATCTACTGTGATAAGATTGAAGGCTAACGCACGAACATAGTCGTCTTGTTTATCTTCACCTATACGACGACCATCATCTTGAACAAATGTAGCTCGCCAGACCGTGCGAACCTTCTCTGACAACTTAGCATAACGAGAAGCATTCTGTTCATCACCAAGAATTCTAGCAATCTCGGAGAGTAAGTAAGACGACTGCGCAAAATACGCCGTAGCAACAACTGCTTTGGGAATGAGTGCAGACCAAAAAATTGACGTGATTCCTTCACCTGGTCGCAACCATTCACCCCAATGAAAACCGCTATCTATAACATAATTCTCAAGATCTCCAAGATCTCTAGCAAACCAACGACTTCGCCCGCGATTGTTTCTGGCTTCATGCTCTAGATGATCCACCCATCGTCGGCATGACTCGTACTGGCGTTCAAGCACGATTCGATCTCCGTAGTATCGATAAAGAGTCCATGGAATGAAGACCGAAGCATCTCCCCATCCTGTAGAATTCGACACATAGCTGAAAAACCTAGACATACCACCAGAGAAGTCCGAACTTTCGCTTGGAATAATCGGTGGTACTCTGCCATCGGGAAACTGCTCCAGTGCAAGGTTACGAAGATATCGCCTAAGGTATGCTTGTGAATCAACATATTTTGTTGCAGTAGGTGAGAATACCTGAATATCACCCGTCCATCCTGAACGCTCACGGGTAGGACAATCGGTAGGTGTATCAGTGAAATTTGAACGCATGCTCCAAAAGACATTACGATGCAAGTGATTAAGTCGTGAATCTGAACATTCAAAGGTACCAACCGGCAAAAGATCCGAAGAGAGTACAATTGCTTGCGCATCATCAAGCTCCAGCTTGTAGTCGAGCCCATCAATCTCAACATAACGAAATCCATGGATTGTAAACCAAGTATGAAACCAACATAACTCGCCGGAAAGTAAAACTTCATCGTATTCAGCTGTCGGTTTTAGGAGCCATGTCAGTGGAACAAGATAATTTGTGTCAAGTTCTCCGTCCTGTCCAACAACTTCGCTATGCGTTAGACGGATCTTGGTACCTTTAGTACCAGTCAACTTAATGTTCACGTAGCCAGCTAGATTTTGGCCGAAATCGATGATTTGCTTGCCAGAGGGAGAAGATAGTATGCGCTTAGCTGGGAGCCGTTCAACTTCTCGTACACGATTGACTTCCTCTGCAACCAACTTTCTAGATGATGGCGGTAGAATGCAAACAGGAGTAAATCGTGCAGGTGGCTCAGGTGCAGTCATCCAGTCATCGTTAGAAACGTTCATATCGACTCGCTCACCGTATATAGGATCAGATTCCGTGATACGACCTGTCCCTGCAATCCATTGCTCATTAGTAATGAACGTCAATTTACTACCATCTACGAGCTCTATGTGAATTTGTGCAAAAGCGGCCAATTTATTGCCATATACTGCTCGACGTTTCATAAAGCCTAGATGGCCACGGTAACGTCCATCGCCAACTGCAATACCAATAATGTTCATGCCACTTTGGAGCTGCTCAGTTACGTCATAAGTCTGGTATTCCACAATCTTGTCAAAGGGCGTGAATCTCGGTACAAGAGCGTTTCCTGTCACATCTTGTCCGTTTAAGAATAGACGGTACCAACCGAGTGCACTAATATAGGCGCGTCCTTTCACGACAGACGCAGGAAGGTCGATAGAACCACGTAAGTATAACGTCCTTTTGTCATTTTTCACATTTTGTCCAAAGCTGATCCATTTTCCGGACCAATGAAATAAATCAAGTGCAGCAGTTTCGAAATAGGCTATTTCACTCCATTCGCTTTGCGTATCACTGCCATCCCAAATCCATACCCTCCACAAATAGCCGAGCGTGGATTGTAGCGATGACCATAGTAGACTACGCCAAATTGCTCGTTGGAAGTAATTTTTCCAGTATCCCACATTAAGTTTCCATTGAATTCTTTGTCCGTAGACACTTGGATAGTGTATGCTGTTTGAATGGCATTATCTGCTGAAGTCGCAAACTTCCATGCAAATTCTGGCTTAGAACTATCAATACCAATAGCCTCTGTACGGTTGTTTATCTTAAGGTCGTAGACACGAGTAGACATCGCACTTTTTTCTGTTTCTTACTACAAGAAAGAGCCCAGTGAGACAAGATACACAAGTATTGTGCCAATATAGTAAATCAATTAGAGATAAGGCGGATTGAAATAAAGTTACAAGCCAAAGTTTGATCAACGTTTGATGGAAGATTCGTCGCTAGAAACAGAATAGACAAATCTGTACTTTCCTCTTGCAAATTCTTTACATATACTTTTTTTCTTATCAGAAATAGATATTCCAAAGTAATAGTTTTCTCAAGTTCAGGAAATCGTTGAGATAACATTTGGCACTTGAACCTGCTTTTCAGAGGGTCATTAGGTACTCGTGCAGGAACAATCTTCTTACGATCGATACGTGATTGATTTTGTTAGTAGTCATATGTTTCTCTCTAAAATTATGTCTCGGTATAAGCAACTAATACGAGGAAGTTGCGAATGGCTCATTAAATTAATTATCATTTTATTTGATAATAACTTACTACTCGGATAATCGTGCTAATTTTACAGTTTAAAAAGACGACTACAGCAGAGCAAAGGGACTGGATTAGTAGCTTCGTGGACGAATCTTTCATTTTTGGTCATAATTGAATCAGGAAATATGTTTTCAGCAGCTTCTTAATTAAGCTGAAGACATATTTTATCACAGCGAAAAGAAGCCACTAACGTAAAAAGTTTTTATTTCTAAACATTGTTACACATTTCAAAAGTTAGAAGTCAATGTGAACTTGGGAAAAAGAATATTGCGTTCCTTTTCGTTCTGTCCTAGTGACGTCTCGTCTCAAAGGATATGCAACTGTTAGACAGTTTTTGAGGCTGATTCCGCCTACGATCTTTGGTTTGAGTTTTTGTCAAGCTTCGATTGACAATGGTGGGAAAAGCCTGAAAAAGAACTGTCGATACACCGTCTTATTCTTGAAACTTGGAACTATTTCTAGAGTTCTTACCCAAAGTGTTTTCGCTCAGTTAATACCGAACTGAATTCAGTACAAGATTGGTACTTTGTTACTTTTGGATCTCTTAACTCCAGAGAGAAAAGTGACTTTTACCGTTTCCTACAGAAAATGCTCTGACCGAACACTCATTTTTCAAGTGACCTATCTCTAGAAAATATATTTCTTTTGAAGAAGTTGTCAATCAACAGCACCGATATCTCTAAGTCACCCCAGTTGCCGAAGAAGAGACACGAAAATGAGACCATGGAGATGGTTTCTATCTCTAAGGGAAATCCAACTAAAACTTCTGTGAAATATCCTGGTCTATAATGAAATCAATTTTCATATCATGCTACCAATGAATTTCATAGCGTCTTTTAATTGTTTACCACTTCTGCTCTTTACAAGAACTGTTTAAAACTGAACTGTTATATTGTACTCATCGACCTCTTAATATTGACCTGAAAATATATAAAACGACCCTAAGAGTCAGTTGAATTCGAGAAATTAAAGCAATCAAAACCTATTTAAAAAGACTTGAACATATATTTTACAAAATTGAATAGATGTCCGAAGTATTAAGAGCAAAGTTCGTGCTGTGGATATGAGGATGTAGGCAAAGGATAAATACAACATATACCGCTTGCCCAGATTATTTCTATCTCATCCAAACATAGTATAGCAAAATGCATTGAGATACGTCAAATATGTAAAAATACCACGTTCAAACATCGTTTGATTAAGTCGTGTATATAACGGGAAAATGCGGATCCGTTATGATAAATGGAGAGGTACATACGTCTTTAACCTATTACGCTTAATGCTTATCTGGCTGTTCACTACATCCAAATGTATCTGTCTCACATACAATATGAGCTTTTGTACCCACGGGAGAATAAGGAAAAGATAAATGGTATACTAGTTTACAGTACAAGAAATGATAGCTAAGCGAAAGATCATATTGCGTCAACGATATGATTTATAATATATATTGAATTTCTAGCAGTGATACAATATACTTGAGTTCCCACCCAAGCCAAGAATGCAACGTTACCCAAAAATGATAAACCTATTTACACGATGTAAAAATACGTTCTCATTTCGGAAGATACGTCTCAACTAGTGCCCGACGTGACCGCCGTGACCGTGACCAATACTTTGTGAACGTTCGTGACCGTGACCGTGACTGGAGCTTGGTCACGGGTAGTCACGAGAACTTTTTCGCAATTTTGGAAACCCCTGAGGGGGAGTAGGGAGACCTTCGCGAAACTACCTCTCCTCACTCGGTCGTCTGTTTCTATGAAAAATTGGGAAGTTTCTAGTATTCGTGATTTTGGAAACCCCTGACGAGAAGTACGGGCACCTCCGCGAAGCTACCCTCCCCCGATTATCACTTTTAATAGTAAATCGAATCCTAGTCTCGATTCTGTTCATTTCCTTGGAGATTTTGCAAGGATCTGTGAGGATCCAGAATGTCCAAGGTCTTGCCAAGTTTTCCTCAGAATCTCGGCTCAATTTCTGCTGCCAGGATTTCTCAGTTATACAGGATCCTGTTTAGGATTTCTTTCCATTCTTGGCTTGGGTNATACTCATTTCTTATATATAATATGTGGTTTTTTTCTCGTTGTATAAGCATTGATTCTTTAAATACTTGTTTTCAACAACAAAAAAACAAAACAAGTTATGATTTTTGTTTATGTCGTGGAGGATCAGGTATTTTAGCTAAAAGGTGAGAATTATTAAAATTTATTAAAAAATAAATATTAAAATCTTTTTTTGTTTGTTAAAGAGAATAATTCGACTAGAAGTATTATAACTTCTTTCGAATTCTATCGACAATTAATTGATGTTTACTTTCTATACAAACAAAAAAATTAGTTAAAAGAATTATAACAGTTTATCTATTGTATTATTCGTAAAGAGATTTTCCGATAGAGAAAGAAAAGAAAGATTTATTTAAATAGATTCAAGCTTTTTTAAAGAATAAATTCATTCGTTAAGATATTATTAATCTTTACTTGAGTTCTTTTTTTTTTGTCTTTCTTGCATGAATTGAATGAATAAGAGAAGTAGTAGTAACAGATTAAAGATGGGATCAGTGATCTTTTCTTTCATTAAGTCCATTTTCTTCCTGTTGGGTAGTTCATTTACTTCCGACTCATATCTTTTGTATAGAATGTATTTACTCGATACAAAAACTGCTTTGATACACATGTAAAATTGAACGGCGCTTATAGAGTGTTATATTCAGAGAAATACCTAGAGAAAAAAGTTCGACACTCCTTTATGGCGGAAGCACTAACGAGTGGTGTGAGTATTTCTCAGGAAAATGTTTTTTTTTTCAACCGATTATGAACGTTACCAAAAAAAAAAACAATTTAACCATTGAGTTAGAATCAGAATTTGTTGTACTCTTTTGGAACTCATAGTCAAGAAGCAGTAAATTTGATCGTATGATATTTAAAATTGATTGTGTGTTTCTTTCTTATGTTCGTCATGAAGTCTCCCAATTTAGTTCTGTTTTCACTGTATTCTGATTGGCTACATCAGGTTCTGAATTCTGTTTTGACTTAGTACTTAGACAATATACGTATTCCACAGAAATAGTTTCCGTATTGAATTCACGCAACAATCTTTCAGAAATAATCGAGCTTATTTTATAAGACTGAAAATCAAGGAATAGAAGCATTGCAGAACATTAATGATAACGATATTCTTCTATTCGAACATGTTTATCTCTTTTTTTTTCGAAGCTGTCAAAGCTTCGTTCATAATTCTTAATCTATGAGTCTCATATAGTTTCGAAAAGTGGACAAAATTCCGATTCTAATCCAATAGTTTAAACTTTCTACTAATTCTTGTAATCGTTCGACATATGAAGAAACATATTGTCGAAAAACTTTTGTATCATATCTTATTACATTCTGTAAAATTAATATAGACAAATTCTAAACATTCTTTATTCTTGTCTATTACGAAAGTCTCTTGTTTTGCTTCTTCATCGAAATATCACACATTTGTGAAGAAACGTCGCTAAGTATCAGATTACTTTTGACTCGAGACTATACTCATCATATGAGTTCTAATGAGCTATGAATACTTTGAAAAGAGTTCATATCTTTAACTTATTTCTGTGGAACACGATCTATAAGAAATATATACTTCTCTCCCAACAGACAGTAAGAGACGTTGTTAATATACGACCACAGACTATATATCAAGAACGTCTCGTTACAAAATATAAACTACTATCTTATTGTATTTCTGAAGGATTAAGTAAAAAACGAGTAAAGAAATGTATTCCAAGATAGACAGAATAGAACAATCTCCTTGTGATTAGTAACAGCAGCTACATCGTGTTTCACATTTTAATCTCGTAGGGTTTGCGCGAACAACTGTTTTTGAATAAATATTGTAACTCTCTCAAGAACAATAGAAAAACCAGTTTTCGAATTTTGACTTGAAGTTTCACACAGAGACATACCGTTGTATATATGCTTTAATTTTCCGGAGATGAGACCTCGGTATTCTACTAAATGATACAATCTCTCGATAATAAAATTATTTTGATACACTTCGAAATATCTCATTGTTCGAGAAACTTCTTAATTCTTAATATAATATTTGTAAGTCATGATTTAAGTTTATTGCTAAATCTTTAGTATAAACTTTAAATTCTAAATTTTGTATATCTCTAGGAATGATGATGATGAATGTGAATCATTACCAAAAAAAAATTCCCATGATAATCATTATCAACAACATACACGTCGACGTTTACCAAAACGTTATAGTGATATAGTTGGTCCATCATCAAATAAAATTTATCTTCCAAGAAGAGATTCAATTAGTCGAAATAAACAAATAATTCATTCTTTATCACAATATAATCATCCACGTACATCATTTAAAGCAAAATCAACTGAAACATTATATATTATTAATTCACATAATAAAAAATCTGTTGATCTACTTTCATCATTATCAAATATAGAACCAAAAGAACATTCAATTGTTACACGTCGATATAGTAGTAAAAATAAACGTTTATCAACATCAAATGCTGTTGATCTTCTTGCACATCGTATGCAAGCAGCTATGAGTACAGAATTAATGCATTCACTTGATAGAAATTTTGTTTTTGGTGATAAAAAACAATCATTAAATTATTCTCATATGAATCGTTCACAATCATTTCATATATCAACATCACCATCAAATAAATATCGAGATAAATATTTAGAAAAAGAACATTTTTATCATGTTATACCACGAGTAAAACATCGTTTAGATGATGAACAAAAATCTATTGAAACAATTTCATCATTAGATGAATTAACACCTGATTATGATGATGATATTATTATTCGACGAATAAATAATAATAATAATAATAATGATGAAATTGATGAAGAACCAATAATAGATTATGATGATTCAAAATCAACATTAACTCCTGATATTGAAGAAAAACCAATAACACCTCCAGCACTTTATGATCTTGGTGTTACATCATCTTTTATTGTTCAACAAACATCTATAACACCAAGTAGTGAATCTTTTACACAAGAACAATCATCTATTCCACCAACACCACCACCATTACCAAATACAATAATACAACAAAAGAAAATAACATTTCGTTGTCGTACTATTGCTGATAAAATAACAGCCGATCATAAACTTATTTTAAAAGATGAAATAGAAACAATAACAGAAGTTCCAGAAGAAAAATCAATAGGTAAATTTATTAATTTTCTCAGTAAAAATAATATTATATCGTTAGATAAAGTAAAATTTTATCCATAAAACAGATCTCTTGATCAGTAGAATATCTTAAAAAATTTCAGCTTAAAAGAATCTTTTTTTCTCTGAAATATTGAATATCCAATAAATGCTTATATTTTATAAGACAAAACATAGAATTAAGCTGTCTTAGACAATCAATATTCCAAGAAAAGTATGTCCTTTTGAGTTGAAATTTTTCGGATCAATATTAATATAAAGCACTGGAAGTCAAATTTCATCTATGCATTTCTACCTAAAAAGTTCGTTTATACAGATATTGGCAATGGTAAAAAAATTGCTGTTTCAAAAAATTCATTTTAAAAATATAAAAGTTTTAAAAGTTGTCATAAAAAAGTAAATAGCATGCTTTGTAATGCAAGCATTGCTCTACGAAACTGATCCATAAAAAATTGTTTTGCATATTTAATTTGGCAGGCCCAGAAAGTAATTCCGGAAGAGGGAACTGTGTGGTCGGCATGTTTTTTTTTGGTCATGATCACGGCATGTTTTGACGATATGTACTGTAGTCTTTTTTTTATAAAGGCTTGATGCACTCATTTAGATGAAGATTTATTTAACCGTAATTTGTTAAAATCACAGTCGAATGATTGATAGGATGACATTTATTTGAGCAGATATGTTATGCTCTTTGTTTTCGTTAATCGTATGAAGTCGAATTAAGTTTTAATAAAAAATAGGGAACTATGTGACTGGTTTTTTGTTTGGACGCAGTCACACCGAAGTCTTCATGGTAAGCCAACACTTCCCTACTGGGAATTGAATCAGGATTGGACCAGATTTATCGAGACTATAACTGGACTCGACGAATAAAAATATTATCGGGATTTGTACCCAAAAAAAACTCACTTTCGCATATCTCTATTTCAAATTCTATCTACATGTTTTCACTTAAGGTTATCTACAAAAATACAACAAATATATATTTGTTTTTTTTTTTTTTTGAATTGTTAGTTCCTCAAATTGAAGAAGAATCTTCAAAAAAATCTTGTTCTATTGCAAGTGTTACACCAAAACCTTGTTATTTACATTTATCAAAAGAAATATTAGAAAAAACAACTTTACGTAAAGTTTCTCATCCAGTTTCACGTTCTTATTCAACTTATGGTTCAATGTCACAATTAAATGATCAAGATACAGAATCAACAACAATACGTGAAAAAACTTCAATTAATAATGAACAATCTCTTGATGGTTTATTATCATCAGCAGCAACTTCAATTATTATTGAAAATGAATATGATCATCGAACATCATCAAAAATTTATAATGATTATAAACGACGAGCATCATTAATAACAGTACCAACAAATAATACTTTAAGTAGTAGTTATAGTCATTCTGCTATAATACATCCAATGCATACACATATTGGTGTACGTTCATCAACATCATCATCTTCGAATGATAAATTAAATGATAATACTTTATCAAATAAAAAAATGAATGTTTGTGTTATTAATCAACTTAATGAACATTTATCAACACGTTTTCGTCAACAACAACAACAAGATATATGTTTAACAAAGAATAATAATATCAATTCAAGAAATACAATTGATCATCAAAGTTATGATCCACCACCGGAACAAATAACAGATGACATTCAAACAAATCTTTATGATGAACCTCATCATATTGAAATAATAAATACACCAGCAATAAAATGTCCTGATATATCAACACCTTCAATACCACCACCACCACCTCCGTAAGTATAAATTAAAAACACATTTGCATCTTTTTTTTTTGTTGCATACAAAAGAAAATTATTATTTCAAAATATTTCTTCGTATTTTTATTTATTGATTAAAATTCTATATCAATGTCTTCATATACTCAAGAAAAAAATGTACTCTATTGATTTGATTGACTTATTCTTAATTCTAGTCTCTGTAGACGTATTAATCGAATATGTAGAATAGATCAGATTTTATTACAAAAATATTAGAAAATGATATTAAGAAATATTTTACACTTCATTTAATTGAAAATATTAATCTTTATTGAATATTTCTTAATCCTCGTACAAAATTAATGATTATAATCAATTGAAATCAAATCAACCAGATATTTGTTTTTGTATTCAAAAAAAAAAAAAAAAAAAAACGGAAGAAAATTCAATCAATGAAAAATTGAGTTTGTTTCGCTTAAAAGTAATCGCGTGCTTGAGTCTAAAGAAGATAACATGACCTATATAATTTCCTTAAAAGAGTAGGATTCAATGTTATTTGACATAATGCACTTCCTTAGTTCAATAATAGTACTCATTTACTAGACAAGCATGATAGACATGCATTCTATTATATATTCATTATGATATTTTGATCTTATTTTAATTAGATTACCAGTTGGTGGTTTTCGACCAATTATATCTCAAATAAATCGTCCATTAAGTTCTCAACGTACATCAATAATGACATTATCACGCGAAACAAATGGTGCTGAACTTGGATGTAGTACAGGCACATCAACAACATCAAGTAAATTATCTGATGCACGAATTCTTCGAGAAGTAAGTTCAATGATTTGATTGACTTTAAAAAAAAAAATAAAACTTTCATTCAATATTTAATATAGTTACGTACAAATCCATTATTTGCAAAAGCTAAACAACATCTTGAAATTGAATCTGATATAAATAGTCGACAATCAAATGAATCAACATGTTATTTAAGACTTGATAAATGTTCTAAAGGTATTTCATCAACAATTGAAAATAATAATTCAAATGAATCATTAAATAATAATAATAATAATAATAATGTCGAGACATTTATAATGTGTCCCGATGAATTAAATGCTATGATGAATAATACAACGAAACGAACAAAATCAATGAACAGTACAACAAAAGATATAAATCGAATTAATTCAAGAACATTGACGAAATCATTTCATCAAACACAATGTCGACAATCAGAACTTGAACTTATCTTTCAAGTAAGAACATAAATAAAATCTAAACAAGATAATTTATCGAACACTATTTGTTACTAAAACAAAAGCCAGCCTGACCTATTATATAAATAGAATTTTCAGGACATAGAACTATGTCATTTAATAATATATAATTTTTTTTCTCCATGATCTGTTTTATGTTTTTATTTATTTCTATTGTATTATCAACCTATGAATAGATCTGTACTTAAAGAGCATATTTTTAAATGTTATATTTATTTTGCTTCATATTTTCCAGATTATCAGATAACCAATCTATCTATATAATAAGATATTTCTTAATAATGTTTAATGTTTTTCTCTTTTAATTTTGAATGAAGATTCGAATTGAATAATTATTAAATATAATTGACGATAAATGATATTTTGATTGTTTGCGTATGAATATAACATTGTTAATTAAATTTTTTTTATCTATCGAAGTGATAGTTTAGATAGAGGGTTTTTTTTGTTTGTTATATTATATTGAATGAGTTTATAGTACAATCTTATACATTCATACTGTTATTTAGAGATGACATATTGATGGATATTTATTTTATATAATTTTAATGAAAAATTTGATTTTCTTATTCTTGTTTAGAAACGTGCACAACGAAATGAACAAAATCCGACATGATTATTATTATTATTATTTTTGTTTTGTTTTTTTTTTCTTTCCTAATTTCAAATAAAATGCATTTAGGTTCAGTGAAAATCTATTTATATATAGAAATATATACATGTCTATTATCAAAGACATGTTACTCTTGAAACAGCAGCATCATGACAATTACAATAATCAACAAGTATCTTAGTTTTAGGTTTATTATTGAATTGTTTTTGTTGATTTGTATTTCTATGAGAATAATTTGTTAAAAATTGAAGTTTTGGTTGATTTTTATTTTGTATATTTATTAAAACAGTTGTTGTTGCTGATGATGATGATGATGGAATAATTAAATGTTTATTTTTATTATCAGAATTATAGTCAAGATTTTCAGCTGATATAACTGATGATGGTCGTTGACAACGATAACGTAATAAATGTAAATTATGATATGACATTAAAAAATTTCTTAAACGTGTTGGAAAACATCGACATAAGTATTTAATAAATGCACGACGAAATTCACGTGAAGAATAAGCATAGATTATTGGATTCACACTGAAAAATAAAACAATATATATATATATAAACATAATATTAATATTAGATAAAATATTTACCTTGAATTAATATAGCCAAACCAAGTAACTAATTGAAAGAAAAGATCATTACCAATTAGAAATTCTTCTATTCTATTTAAATTTTGTTTTCCTTCAAGTAATTGTTTTGCTATAGCAGTTAAAGGATTATAAACAAAAAATGGTAACCAACATATAACAAATATTCCCATAACATAAGCAAGTGTAACAGTAGCTTTTTGTTCTTTAGAAAATTTTGTTAAACGTTTACCAAGTGTTTGACGTGATTTTTCTGATGACATTCGTTTTTTATTGATTGTTATTTGATGATTATCATTTGTTATTGAATAATGTGATACTGAATTATCTGTAAATGATGATTCTCTATCAATTAATATACCATGATATTTACCACGATGTATACGCAAACATACATCAGATGAAATATTTAATGTTGCTGAATTTTCAATATTTGTCCTTTTTTTTGAAGTTCTAGTTTTTTCTGTTGTGATTTTAACACCTGTTTTAAATGCATGTAATTGTCTAATAGCAGCACGATAAATTCTTATATAAACAAATATCATGACAAATAAAGGTATATAAAACGATATTAATGATGAAACTAATATATAATAAATATCATCAGGAAATAGACAACGTTCAATTTCATACTGACGAACAACTAAACGCCAATAGGCAATAGCAGGAAATGAGATAAAACCTAATTGAATCAATGAGAAATTGAAGAATAAATAAATAAAAAAAATTTTGTTATTTATTTTTTTTTTTTGCTTAGAAATTCACCTGAACATAACCAAACAGTAGCAATAAGATAAGGCCAACGTTTAACAAAAAATGCTCGATGATAGGAAATTGGATTTGTTATTGCTGAATATCGATCCAAAGCAATAACACATAAATCAAGTATTGATGCAGTACTTGCACATACATCTATTGAATGCCAAATATCACAAAATGTTTTTCCGAATGGCCAATATTCACCATAGATGACTTGAATAATAGCAAATGGCATTACAATTAAACCAACAAATAGATCAGCACATGCTAATGATGCCATATAATAATACGTAGCTAATAAAAAACATTAAAACTTTATTAATATATTAGTTAAATAAACATTATTGTCAGACAAAATTCATATTAGTATATTTATTATTTATCTTAATCCTTTGACGGGCGGATTTAGGATAACTAGGTTCTATCGATGTCGATAATGCAGTGAAATAGATTATGATCCAGATCGTCATGTACGAGGTTGTGGGTGTTCTTTGGTATGAATAAATTATTCACACTTACATCCGCGCTCATACTCTTGTTTTGTATCAAATGGATGATGCAACAATCACGTACTATACATGAAATAAGCAACAAGTTCACTGCAGTACCAGTGTTCTTTCTATCAAATTCGTTTATCCTAGTTTATTGTAGTTCTTCAATCGAAAACAAAAAAGTGGGACATATATGTCTCACCGCCCATCAAAGGGTTAATGTTANATTTCTCCTTGTTAAAGCATTTCCCTTAATAAAATAACGATTTCTGCTTGAATCGAGTATACCTTGAAGAATAATGAATCATAGACATACATACATATATGTATATATTCGTTTTTTTCGATTTCTCCTTAGCATGTATGACTTTATGTGGGGTGATCCATTTCTGCTTAAATGGGAACAATTTCTCCATCTATTGGTCCTATCGTCCACTGCTGTATTGTACACAATGTGGATATTGTTATTCGTGATGGATTCACCGCTGATACGCTTATCGCAGAGCGATCACTCTTTGTGTCATCATTGTCTTCTGGGGTCTACTTTTTCTCTTTTTCTTTTGCGTATACATATAAATACTTCTGTATTCATGAATATATCAAAGCATAAACTACAAATATCCCCAAAACCGTTATATTAATCCAACATGTCTGAAAAATATGTTCTATTTTTTTCATACGAATGCATTTATTTTGATATTGCATGTGTCTCCGTGGACAAGTAAAATGATTGCTATTATCTTGACTCTTACGCTATTATCATGATTGAACCTTCACTTATATGGTAAAGCAACTGGCCAGTCATCAGGATATGTTGGGATCATTCTCTAATTCGGAGTCAACGAGCCTTCTTAATTGAGTCTTTAGTACTCCTACGGATTTACCAATTGTAAATATTTGTTTCTTATTCTATTGTAAATATTACCATAGACAACTGACACCCAATCAAAAAAAAGAGGTGGGTGTGTATTTTTCGAATAATATTTGATCGCAGCAAGACAGAGACCTGCGGTTTTCATTGTTAGAAATAGGAGATGAAGATGCATCAAACTGTATGTTATAGGATAATTTGACCTAGTTTTACAAGAATGTAAATCGACATTTTCGAAAACCAACATACTGACTATGGTAAGTAACAGAGGTCCAACCAGGCTGCGTTTTTGTAGGCCTGGCCGGCCTGTGACAGGCCTCTGCATTTCAAGCCTGCCTGTGCCTGCCAACTTATTTGTTTGGCCTGGCCTGCCTGCCTGTCATTTTCTTCGGCCTGCCTGGAAAGGCCTGTCTATTTTTCTTTTATTTCAATATCATTACGATGATAGAATAGAAACATTTAGTTAATGTTGAGAATGAAGGAAATCACTTTAATTAATTTAAAATGACTGGATTAATCTTTTATCTATCAAAGTTTTCATACAAAAAAAGGAACATAACAAAGACAGTAATATTAAGAAAAAAAGTCCTGTTTTTATTCAAGAATGTTTCGAATAGAACTCACAAAAAGAAAGTCAATTAAGGGACCCCCCCCCCCCCCTCAGGAATCGTTTTTCGTTATTCGGGGCCGATTCGGCAGAAATTTTCAGGGAATATGTGTGTGGCGTTAACTTAATTTCTTGCAAATTTTTGATTCGTAAGATTTTTGTTTTAAAGAGTTATGGATAAATTAGTCTTCAAAATGGTGGTCTTGGTAAGGTACCGATTTTTCGGACTGTCGAGTAGGTAGAGAGCGACCGTTTTTTTAATTAAAAGAAGAGATCTATATCTAGAAATGTATATACCGGTTTTTCTAAATTCGATTTCGTTCAGATTTCCGAGACAATTTTCTGCAATAACTCGGAACTTAGCACTTTTTGACATCAGTGTTATCCACTTATCTCGACAAGAGAATCGAATTTCCAAAAAAACACTATATACATTTCTAGACATAGGCCAATTCTTTTATTTAAAAAAAAACGGTGGCTCGCTAGCCCTTCTGCAGTCTGAGAAACCTGTTCCGAACTCTCCAAAAAAGTGACTTTGAGAAAACGAATCAACAAGTTTATGAGATGTGTAAACGGATGTGAATGTGACAAAAGTAATCAGTGTTATATATATTTGAAATCAGTGTAAAATTCTCTTTTTAAGTGACATAATTGAATAAAAATCTGTTTACAATTTTTAATTTGACTATAACTGTCATGACCTCTATACTGCAATCTCGTCATTTATAAAGCATCCTTCTAGAAACTCGCCATATTGCTCTAATTAATTAAAATGACAGAAATTATATGTATTTATCATTATCAACTGTTTACAAACTTGTTGACCACAGTCACATCCCCGTAACTAAGGAATATTGCTGAAAAACTCTTATATTTCCATATTACTGCTTCTAGAAAACCACCATTTTTATCCCCAAAGACCATACAAAGTGCAACAAATCGTACAGAATCTGAAAGAGGACACTTTCGGCTTTCAGAGTATGTGCTTATCTCAAAATCGATTTTCTGAGGGGGGAAGCTCCTTAAAGTTTGAGGATCGAGAGAAGATCGACGTTCGGTTACAGTTAACCCGGCAGCGGAAAATGATCTCTCGACCGCGGCGGAGATTACTGATATCGAAAACAATATCTGAAGAATAGTCGATAAGAAAGATTTTAACAGCCATCAATAATAAAAAAAACTATAGATAAATGGGAACATAAAGAGTGAATAGATAAAAAAGATGAACTACGCGATTTGAGCTGATCATTAGTCATCATTTCGATCAATCAGAATAAAGACAGAACATTATTCCATAGTTCCACTGATTACTAGCACCACCTTGAATTTGTTAAAAAAAATTATATCGAAAAGAAAATTATATATATAAAGGATATAGACAGGCCAGGCGGCCTGGTGTTTTTAAGCGGCCTGCCTGGCCTGGTTGAGGGGTCGGCCTGGCCTGCCTGTGACAGGCCAGGCCTAAAACACGTGGCCTGTGCCTGTCATAGGCAGGCAGGCCTAGCGGCCTGGTTGGACCTCTGATACAAACACATTTTATTTCATATGACCCTCCCTACAGTCGAGGGAATGATGCGAGATTTGATACCATATGGTATATTTATTTATTGATCGAAGAAAAAACCATGAATTTGATTAAAATCGATTAAATATCAAATAATCTGATAAAAATCGTTCGTTAGAAATTTAATTCATTTTAATTATTATTTTGATTTGAAATCTGATTAAAATAGTGCCATTATAATCGAGTTTTAATCATAAAAAGTCGATTGTAATCAGATTTTTTCCGATTTTGTTTACAGGGGTGATCATCTCTTTTAGAAACATGCTGGATTCACTTTGACTACGATCGAGACTGTCCAAAAGGAAGCTCCCGAGACCCAAACCAAAATATTTTGCTCCCGCACATCTCTAGTCATGACACAAGATTAAGTCAGCATTAATTGCTTCATATTGCATAATTATTAAAGTAACAAATTATTTAAAGAAAATTTCTCGAACTTTGAAATAATTTTGTTTAGTGTCCCATTTGATATCTCATCATCTGTCTTAATATGATCATTTAGACTCTGGCAACATCTTAACTTCAAAATACAGCAGTTCAAAACGTGTCCTGAAATGTATTAGTACTTTCTTTGTATTTTCTCTGTTGTGTTCTACTCCATTCCATTTGAAAATTAAAGTTTTGATTTTTTGTGAAGAGAAGAAAAATGAATTTCTTATTATTGTTCTACTAATGGACTAATAATAATAAAAAGCAAAAAATACAGTTAGGTGTCTGGAGACAATTTGGACTACCTATAAGTGCACATTTGTGTCAATCATGGTAGTACATAGTAAAATTTTATTGTATTGATGAAAACGAAACAAAAATAGACTGCATGATTAACATACTGGATTTTTATGAGGTTCTCCCAGGTCAAAACATTGTCGAATACGTCTGTATGTTGATACTCGAGTCATCTGATTACTAAAGCCTGGTCCACCATTGCATTCTAATGCTCCGTTAATTATTCGAGTAGTTGCTGCAAAGTCACCTTGTTTTGCTGGTCCAGCCATGTTATTGGCATTATAAAACCAAATTGCAGTTTTTACTGCTAAATCTTGTTGTTGTTCAACCAAATCTGGATTATTAAGCAGATCTATACCTAAAGCTTGTCCAGCTGCATGATAGTTGCATGGCCAAGATACTTGAAACCAACCACGACCATAGTATAATTTACCAGGCACACCCTGAATACTGCACCACGATCCAGCATAATGAGAGCCACAACCTAATTGATATGCAACACTTATTAAAATACAAAAAAGTTTCTTCTTAAAATGTTTCAGTATCATATGTCAAAGTGCTTTTACTAAATAACCATTTAAAATGAAGTATTGAACTTCAATTCGATCGAGTATTCTTTTAAATAAAATCGTGTTGTTTATAGCTTATGCAATATCATGAAGAGGTGCTCTTTTTCTAATTATTAAACTTATTTTAAGAGAAAAATGTGCGTGTTGTAGTAGATCTTCTTATCATTGTTAACTTTGTCAACGTTAAGATAAACGTTCAATATCATCTATATTATTATTCGCTAAATATTTACGTTCGAAGTGAAAAAAAAAATTTGAACAGATATTCAAAATACTCAAAAAACCTTCTAAAGTAATACGATACGAAGGTATGAGCTAAATGCGCTCGTAATATCGTCGTAATAACTAGGTCGAAATACTTAAATTCGTTTTTTTAATAAATACTTACCTGGAGCACAGTATTCTTTAATTGTCTTTAGACCATCAGTTTCGTGAAAGACGTGAGCAAGAAAAACAACTGCTTCTTCTTTGTTCGATGGCTTCCAACCCGAATTTCGAAGACCGTTGAGTCGACTGAGTCTTGTTCCAGCGTCAATTGTGTAGAATGCACAGGCAAAAATTTTTTCTGTAATGATGGAACCATCACCAGTGTTGCCACCGTTTCCATTTCCACCGGTATTACCACTATAGCAGGGTCCCGCTGTACAACCGGTACCACAATATGGATCTCCCGTACCACAATAACCCCATTGTGATACACACATATCCGAGCTAGGGCAAGCCATACGTGGTTTAACATAATTCAATGTATTCCTTTCTTGTTTAATAGAATCACCTTGAATTATATGGATCAAGCCAACAATCATGAAAGCAAGAAACACGTAGATATGCATATGATGAATTGCTGCCATTGGTTCGATATAGGACGGACAGAAACTACAAGTAATATGAGTATGAAATAATTGTGATGAAGTATTTATATGTGTATGTATAGCATCTGTCTACAGCTGTTTTTTCGCACCTTCATCGTTACTAACACATTTCGTATTTTTATTCACCAAAATTAAAAACAACATCAAAACGATGTCATTGGCAATCAAAAATTACCTTATTGATAACTGATATATATTATAAACGGACACTTCATGCAGGAGCTTGTGTGTCCCCATGATATATCATTATCCATATTATTGCCTATATATTTTCTTTCGTCTTCTATTTCATTTATTTCTGTCATTAAATCCTTTTATTCTCTCTCTAGATTGATTGATTCTTTTTTCACTTATTTATGTCATATAATCTTTATCTGTTGGACTTTGATTAGAGATGCTATTATTCGAGAGAGTTCGATTCTAGATAATTAGAACATGAGAAAATATTCATTTCAATTGATAGTTTGAGAATTTTCAACCCAAACACAAAATAAAGGATTTGATTATCTCGCAAGAAAAACAAAACTTCGCTCCATTAGCTTAATTAGTTTCGCATCATTTTGATCTCATGTATTTGACTGTTAAAATAACATGACAGGTAAACAAGATTTGTAGAGTCGGAATACTCGCACCAAGACGAACGAGTAGCTTGAAACATTGCAAAAATATGGCAAAGTTATACAAGCATGGCACTATGGGAAGGTAAGCTTGACTATGATGCTAATTCTATAGAAACTAAAGCATAGCTATTTGGTCAAGCCGCTTTACCGTGGTTGTTTTCGTGAAATATCATGAATATCCATGTAAAAATCCAAGTCATTTATTGTATTAGTTTCTGTATTTAACACATTCGAGGCGATGTGGCTTATCGGTGGGCCATACTATATTTCAAGCAAGAACTATATAGAAAAGCACTTTCTTTTGCTATTTGCTTAGTCAGGAGACTAAAGACTACGACGTGGCGCTTCAAATTTGAAATACTTTGATAAAAATAGTAAAGTTAAAGCATTCCACTTTGATAATTTAACTGCAAAGAAACTAAAGGACTGTTAAAGTGAAGTTGAGCCGTGGCTAGTTTCCTTGATTTTGGAGAGCTTCGAAAAACCAGCAGTNGCAGCATTTCCAAAATTAAACAACTTTTAAAAGAACAATAACATAATAAGTTCATATTTCTAGAAAATCTAAATAAAATGATTACGAGAAAAATATTTCATGCAAATTTAATTTAGTACTTGGAAAAATCCGCGTGGAAAGTTGGTTTTTATATAATTAGTTTAGAGACACCGAGTGTTGTTATATCTTTGGGAAAGACTTAGATTATGATATTCATATTAATATAAAAAATATGTACAGGGTATAAGAAAATTATAGGCTCCCCTATGTCATAGTCAAAAAAAAGTTAATACTATATTTTGGAAAGGAATTCCTTTCCAAAATATAGTATTAACTTTTTTTTTGACTATGACATAGGGGAGCCTATAATTTTGTTACATCCGGTAGAAATAAAGTATATATCTTTGAGCTTGGATTATTTCGAAAGTGTATCTTTTCTAGTTTTAGCTTTACTCAAATGCTTCACTGAGTAAATGGAACATTAAAATTGATGCTTGGTATTATAATTTAATTGTTTTCGTTTCTTTTTGACTTCTAAAATATATTTAAAATAAAATACTAGTTATCTCACAATCATGCAAGTGAAACAAAAGAATAAGATTGATATATGGGTTTGAATAGAGCTCTTGTCTTCGTCCATACTCTTCTTAATTCAAACAAACAAATTGCATTCTTTCAACTGAATATCTAAATAACAATGTCAGCTATAGGTCACAGGCATTTTTTTTAGGTTGTATCATTCATGGAATCATGATGTGCAGAAATTTGATTTTACTTTTTTTCTACTTAGCACAAAGTAAAAGCACCAGTTTTCTCAATCCTAGCTGCTTACATCCTTCTTCTAACATTGTTCAGTTGAACTGAAATATTTTGATTTTCCGATCAAGATATATACGATTCTAAAAGTCAACATTTTAGTTTTGATTTCGAATCTGTACGTATTTTTTTCCATAAAGAAAGAAAATCTAATTTTCGAAAACGCTCAAAAATATCTCTAAGATATAGTCTTAGATATCTTCAAAAAAATTTTCACCCATATTAGATAAAGTTTGATGACAGTCAGAATGTCACAGGATGCGATCATAGGGAAAACTTTTGTTCTTAAACACGTGCCTCCGTATTCTAGATCCTCTAAAACCACAATATTCTTAAGATCTGTCTCTGTGCAAAGTTTCAAGTCAAAAATCAGTTTTTTTGACGAAGACTACGGTATTTCATAAGCTATTAGCATGAATGTTTTTCAAAGTATTGATAACTTATTAGAATCTACATGATGTACATAGTCCGAACTCAAAAGTAATTTGATATTTAGAGCATTTTCCTTGTCAATAGGGTCCGTCGGGTCAAAAACTTTCGAACTCAACTAAGTTCGGAACTAACCGGATAGATTCTACACATGTCTATGACTTTTGTTTAAAAGCGATTTTAACTTTGAAAAATTTCTCTTGTCTATAATCGGCTCTGTTTATGATTAAAATCATCAATAGTTTGATTATAAATATTTTAGCTTATGATAGAAAAAAATAACATTCTAATCAAAAATATCTTCTAATAAGATATTTTCATATGTCTATAATTTCAATTATAAATATTATTTTTGTCTTTTGATTTATAAATCATTCTGAAAAGCACATCAAAAAGAAAAAGCCAAATCAAGCAATAATCCCTTCAATTCGCACATATAAAACATGGACAAAAAAAAAGAAGAAGAAGTTATCATCTGACTATACAAATGAATATTCACTATTCTTTGTTTATGTATATAAACTTGTTGATTTTCTATTAAACCATGCTTCAGACATTGGTACACGAGCTGGTCCAACAAGAATACTATCATCTTGTTGTTGTTGTTGTTGCTGTTGTCCTTTATTTGTTGTTTCTTTTGTTGAATCTTGTTGTTGATTATAAAGTGAACGAAATGTAATAGCTTGTTTTAAATAAAGTCTTGCTTTAACAATTTCTTTTAATAAACGTTTAATATCATCACTTTCAAGTTCCGGTAATAAACTTTCATCAAGTTCTAAATCATATGTTTTATCTTGTTGTAAACGATGCATAAATAAATGTATATCACGTGAATTATTTGTTGAACGATGATAACGTCCATTATTATCATGTGCTAAATGTTTAAGAAAATTATTTGCATCTATATCTTGACAACAAAATGATATTGTATTTATTGATAGACGTTTTGTATCTGTTGTATTTGTATGTATTGTATTCATTAAACGTACTTGTTCTAATAAATAACTTGTACTATGATCTGGTTTACCATCGCTTATATAATAAATACTATCAATTGGTTGTTTACTATGATGAAAATCAAATGCAAATTTTAATACATGTTCACTACATGTATTACCATTAGCTTTTAATGTACTTATCCATGCAATAGCTTCATGACAATTATCTTCTGTTGGTAAAACAAGATTATCACGCCATATTTGATAATTATCATTAAATTGAATAAAATTAAATTGTATTTGATAAGTAAATAATTGTTCCCATACAAGTGTAGCTAATTCTTTTTTTAAATAATCTATATAAGATTCCATTGAACCACTTGTATCAACAAGTATAAGTATATGTTTATGAATTATAGTTGAAAATATTAAACGACTTCCATTTAATAACCATTGCATACGTTTAAAATAACGACGTAAGACAGATTCACATCGTTGACGATAATCATCTAATTCACGTGGACGTAATTGTAAATGACGAATACTACCTTTTATATTTATCGATGGAAATACAGAACAATAACGAGCTGATGATGTTAATTTTATATTTGGAACTGTAATTGTATCATGACGGCCTAAATAAAATCAAACTGAATTGATTATTTATTATTCTTTTAATAGATATAGAAGTTTGAAATCAAAATTTAAAAACTATTAGCACAATTCCTATGGAATTAAAATATGTAGCACAATATAGCTGTTGTTGCTAATCACAGGTATATTCTTATATTTGTTCTATTTTGGAATACATTTTTTCATTATCCTAATCTGTGATGTAGAGAAGAGTATTATTGCTAATGGATCTGTTAGGACCTGTGATTAAGAATAGAACGATTGGAATGTTGGCTATGAGTCGTTTTCAATATGTCTTCCAAATCTCATGTGTCATGGTGTGAGTGAGAAAGTGTTATTAATTCTGAAGAATCAGTCTCGTGTCTTCAAGTGGCCGCCCGTCCTTACATTCACGAGAAAAATCTCCCAACTGATTAATCATTTTTGAGTCAAGACTATGTGAATATTAAATATTCTGAAAAGAGATCAGATATTTAGTTTATTACTGCATAGATATCATAAATTTACCATAGAATTTAAATGGATGTCGTAGTTCTTTCAGAAAAACTAATTTTCAAATTTCGATTTGAAGAATAAGAACATCGGATCTCTCGCTATATGTGAATGATATAAACCACACACTTTTAATATAGTTGCATCTTAAGATAGAAACAATGGCAAGAAACTACTCTCGTTTAAGAACTGTTTATGTGCAAAGTTTCCATTCAAAAGTAGTTTTACTAGCGTTCTTGAAGGGAACTACGGCGTTCCTTTAAAAACTACCATAAAATTGTATTAACTCAAAAGCAATTTATCACTCGGGTATTCGCCGATAGCCTGGCTCATTCCCCTTTAACGATAAGATACATAATATGACTTGTAGAAAAATTTCAAAAATATCCTTAAAGTTACTGTCAGTTGGATAGAGTTCGCGGAGTTGCATAAGAAAAAAATGTTTCACATATAAAAATAAAAACAATCTTTTTATAAAAGTTAGAATTCCGAGTCCATCCCTCCTCTTATATTTGAAACATACTTTGTCTTATGTAACTGTTAGTACTTTAAAATTCGAATATCTTAGTCGATGTATGTCATACCGGCAAGACCTTTAATTTGACCTAAATATTTTTCGATCTAGGACAGTTGGTCATCGAACAGATTCTATTAGTAAACTGAATTATTTATTGTACAGTTTGAGGGTTAGCCATGGATGAAGAGAAGATTCATTCATTCATACCTATATGCTCTTCACATTCAAACATCATTAATGTTATGATGAGCATCTACTTATCTAAAAAAAGGCTTCGAATTATTTTGATGATTAATTGTTTCTTTAGTTTTAAAAATAATCAAGAAATGTTTGTATATCTTGAAATTCTATACTTACATTCTGGTCCTGATACCATTTTATGAAGATCAAGTTTTAATCGAATAAGTGAATATTTTCTTAACCATGTCTAAAAATAAAATCAATTAATTATTTAATTTTAGAAATATAATATTGATTACTTGTGATGTTTCATTTTCATCATTCGTTGGTATAAGTAATAAATTTCCTGGTGAATATTTTCTTATTGATTTATTACCTGTTGTTGATGTATTTAATGAATCATTTTTAATAATTGAAAATTTTGTATTATTTTGACTATCCAAATAAAATGATTCTTGTTTTAATGTTGTTTGTCTAAAATAAATTTCTTTCTTAAAACAAAACAAAACAATTAAAATTACTTTTTTTTTCTTGAATGTGTTATATCTTGATGAATTTTATCATCAGGCCATTCTGGTATTAATGTTCTATTAGTATTTGTACTTGTTGGTCTCCAATGTTGTTCATCTGTATTAGTACTTGAATTGAATATATTTTGTCTAGCAGCACTTAATAATGTTTGACGAACAACTAATGGTCCTGAATTTTTTTCTGTTTGTTCAATAGATAATATTTTTTGATTTAAATTAATTGTTTCACGTACACGTCGTTTTGATTTAATTATTTCAACAAGATTTGCTGCTTGTTCAGAAAATTGACATGCTTTATCAATTTCATTTTGTAATAATTTAATATCATCACTTTCAATAATACCTGTTTCACGAAACCATAAAAATCTTCCACCTGAATGTTTAGCTAATGCACGCATAAATTCAGCTGTTTTAGTTGCATTTGCCCATCGACCATTTACACTCATAGATATATTACTTTGTATACCATGTTCAGATAAATAATAATCATCAATATTAAATAATATTGTATGTAAATATATTGATTTACCAACATTACATTCTTCAACATATGCACAACATACTTCAAGAGATTGATCTGGTATACCACTGGTTAATAAATAAATTCCTTCAGGATATAAATGATGTTTACGTTCTTCTTCATTTTCATATATTGATCGTAAAGCATTGAGAAGATTACGAGTACCACCACAATTTAATGTTAATACCTAAAATAATTTAATACAGATTCTTTTTTTTTTTGTTTTTAATGAGAATATGTATATTTTTCAAAAGATTTTTCAAGATATTGTTTTTCTTGTTTGATTCGATAGTATGAATCAGTTATCGAAAATGATTTCTACATGAATGAAAATTTGTAATCACTAGAATTATTTATTAGAACATTGTCAAAAGTTTATTATCATAATGATCACAAGTTCAATAAGATTGGACGATTTTAGTACTTGAAAAATAGCATGATAGATCAATCGAATTTCTTATTGAGACTGAACGAACAAGATGTAGTTCGTGGATATTACAAATTCTAGAAGATTATCATTTATTAATATAGACCTTCACGTGTGAAATGTCTCACTGATCAATTTTAAACAATCAGATCGATTACTATATTTAGTTAACGTATTCAGCTGCAGTAATACTCATACCACTTAATGTAGTTGATTGTGTACTTAGCAGCCTTATGTATGCATAACGAATGTCATTCAACCGAATAAATGATCTGCTTTTATTTATTGACTAAATAAAAACATCCAAAACGTTCGAATAATAAAAGAAAATAAATTTCGGCCTGGATGAACCATTTCGAGTCCTAATATGAATATGTAGTAGTGATTACTTATATTCTACGCAATGCATACAATGAATTCAAATATTCAAGTTTGGTGTGATATAGAAAAAATAGTTTGACATTCATCGAAGTTTTCTTATTTCATCTTGTTGATCTTCATTGTATCTACTTATAAAGCATTCAGATACAAGCAAAAGTTGTTTATCGTATATTCACCAAGTAATCTTCTCTTCTGTATGATATATCTTAGAAGTAATAAATGCGAAAACATCGGATTTAAATCCGAGTGTTATGTGTACTTTAAAAAGTGAACAGGTATATTCACTTTGTTTTTTTATCATCTGAGACATATCTCGTCAATTTGCTTTCTTCAAGCAGTTTTTNGTGGAAAAAAGTTTCAGCAAGGGTCTGTGAATAAACTCTAACAATACTCAATTCAACCGATTTGAAATTTATGTTTCTGTAAATTAAAAGGCTGTTTATTAGATGAGTTAACAATTTTTTCACATGTTACACTTAGGCTAATCGAAGAACTGTCGGCTAAATATAGCTTTGGGTGTGGGTGTGGGTGTGGGTGTGGGTGTGGGTGTGGGTGTGGATGGGTGTGGATGGGTGTGGGTGTGGATGGGTGACAGTGAGTGTGGCTGTTGGTGTGGGTGTGGGTGTGGCGCGTGGATGTGAGTGTGGATGTGGGGTGCGGGTGTGAGTGAGTGTGGCTGTTGGTGTGTGGGTGTGGTTGTGGCGCGTGGATGTGAGTGTGGATGTGGGGTGTGGGTGTGAGTGCGGGTGTGAGATAACACTGAAGAGACCTACACCACCCACACCCCACATCTACACACTCACACTCACACTCACAATCACACCCACTCCCACCCCCACCCCACACCCACACGCTCACACTCACACCCACACAATCACGCTCACACCTACACACACCCACACCCACTCTCAATGTTAACAATGGAACTTATTATACCAACGCAGAATATGAACGCATTGAACGACAGAGACGCGAAGCAGAAAACAAACGTAAAGAAGAAGAAGAAAAAAAGAAAGAGGAATATGAAAACACATTGAAGCGAGAAGTAATACTCTTCCAGATCAGTATAGAACTTATCATAATTTATTGTCTCTTTTCAGCCTGCAGAAGCAGAAGCTAGAAGACAAAACCAAGTTATGAATGTAACAACAGAAACACAAACAAGAGAAATTGGCCGCATAGTCACGCCGATAATGTCAACTGAGAGGAAACGTAGAGGGGGACTGGGAAGACTGGTTTCGATCGATGGTAGTGGTTATAAGCATTATGCGGTGCTAGTAGGTAGCTATACAAAAATTAGGTGGCGTGAAGAACAACGTCAAGTTAAAACATTTTACAGTGGAAGAAAAGAATTTGGCGATTGGGCAGTGATAAGAGAATGGGAGACAACTGCTTAATGATCGAATGTAGTTGAATGAACACTAGCATTATTCCAGATCTACGCTATATACATTTAAATAAACGTTTGAAAAACCACTTGCATAGAATTGAAATTCTTTTAAAAAATTTTATCTAGTTAGAAGCAATAGGAAAATTAATTTCTCGAGATATCAATTAATGACCCAGGGTGTGGGTGCGGGTGTTGGTGTTAGTATATGGAACAGAATAACATCCATATCCATACCCACACACCCAGCTATAACCATAACCACACCCTAAGTAGGCTTAAGTAGCCTAAGTAGCTCAAAATCAAAATACGTGGGAAGTACTTAAAAAGTTGTTCTAAATGCTTGAAAGTTGCTTACAGAACGGGAAAAGTTGCTCAAAGTAGTTCAAAGTCACAGAAAATAACTTCAAGTACAAACGTCAGTTGTTACTCCTTGTTCTCTTTTTTAAAATATTTCAACGAAATCAAATTAAAATCTAAGATACATCATTGAAATTTATATCAATTATTAATTAAATATTTTTATTATTCTTTACAAAATTATATCTCACAAATCATTTTTAATGAACAAAATTATTTTCTTTCTTCTTCAATGTATTCGTATAAATAAAACAAAAAATCTCACAACATTATTATTCATCAATTATTCTTTTTATTACAAATATTTATTTAATTTAAATCAATTTCAAATTTTTGTACTCGATGATTCGAATTATCAGCGACATAGAGATTACCTTGGCGATCAATTGATAAACCTCTGAGAAGATTGAACTGATTTGGTTGTTCTCCTTTTCCATTTCCACCAACGATAATCCGACCTTCTTTAGATCCTTTTAACCAGCGCATTATTCGATGATTGTAAGAGTCAGCAACATAGACATGACCCCAATGATCGACAAACACTCCTTCAGGATAAGACAATTGTGTCAAACTATTTCCTTCACCTTGTCCACCAGCAACAACAATTCCTTCATTTGCACCTTTCATCTATTTCATTACACGATGATTCCCACAGTCTGACACATAGACTGAATAATCTTGATCAACGAAAAGCGAAGTGGGTTGATTGAGTTGATTGAGATGATTTCCTTTTCCATTTCCACCTGCTACAATTATTCCATTTGTTTCTCCTATTTTCCATCGTCTCACTTCATGTTGTTCAAAGTCAGAAATATAAAGATCTCCATAGTTATCCATTGTTAGGCTATAACAATCAACATCAGAAATGATTGTTTCTTCTTTTGTAGCATTTCGACGAAACCATCGTACCACTCGTCTGTTTCCCAAATCGCAAATAATAAGAGAATCATTCTGTTGATCAACAATCATATCAGTTGGTCCATTCAATTGATCCATACGGTTTCCATATCCATTTCCACCTGCAGCCGTTTGACCAATCTCTGCATTATATTTCCATTCAAGAATACGATGATTGTCACAGTCAGCAATATAAATACATTGATCATCATCATCAATATAGATGCCATAAGGAGAAGAGAGTTGATTTAATTGTTTGCCTTGGCAATTTCCTCCAGCAATGGTAGTTCCATATTGTTGCCATTTGGTTTTGATATTAACGCGAGGAGAAGATACTTGTCCTATAAAAAAAAACAAGAAAATTAATGAAATAAAACTTTAATTAATTTCGTTGAATAAAATTGATTGAAAATGATTTGATTATCATGATCTTGTGAAGACTTATTACTGATCCAGTTTAAGGTCCCAACAAAAATAGATTTATTAAGGTTTTAGCTGATTCTTGTTGAAAAATTCATCCAAGATTTGAAAATCTCTAGGTTCTAACGGCATTTAAACGTCACTGTTCAGTAACATTTCAATAGTAGTAATTAGAAGAGCTAGTCAAGATTTTACTAGCTTATTATTTCGAACTTGATAAAATACTGAGAATCCAAGAATCTACCCGAGTTTAACTTGATCTGGACTTGACTTTTCAAGTACACAAATAAAAGAGGTTCTAGTAAAAGCTTCGGAGAGTTCTCTTTAAGTTTTTTTCAACATTTATTTTCTATATGATCTGAGATTCAGACCACAAAATCAACTAGATTTCGAATTTTATTTTCAGACGAAGCTTGAAAAACCTTGTAAAAAAAACTGAAACATAGGAATTTCGATCTGAAATTTTGTCCATAAATACGTTTCATAATCCTTAACTTATTCTGAAAATTTAACTCAAAACGGATGCTTTCTTGTTGAGATATTTGACACCTACAAAAATCAGCTACATTTTGCAAAAAATTGTTAAAAAAAACCGACTTTACTTCAACATTTTGTATTTCGAGAAGGAAACAACCATTGTTGTTGAAAATTTCGGAACATTCTATAAATATCGTTAGAGTTATGTATGAGCAATTTTTCAAATTAAAATTTCTTTATTTCGATTTTTATTATGAGACTGAATATCCTATTCCAGACACTTTTTCTTTATGATGGCATAATTTGTCAGTAGATCGGTTAAAAATTAACGGAATGGTTCCATCAGATACCTTAATACTATGTTTAAGAATATTGTGCAAAATAAACAAGGGTACACGTTGTATTTGTGAAAAAAAAACCTTTAAAAAAGAAAAGTGACATTAAAAAAACTACCAGTTGTAAAAGATTTATTGTTCCATCCGACAGTCACTTGAAAATTATATTTTAATCTTGGTATGGCCTTCAAAATCATCTTAGTCCAGAAAAGCATTGATTTCTGTATCCAAGTTCTTATTACGGTTTTTATTGTAATTATTCAAATGTCCCTTGGAAGGGACATTTGTCTTTTAAGGTTTAATATTTGTATGATTGTGGCACTGACGTTTTTATCACATAGTCATTTTGAATAATGGACATATCTTTCAATAGAAATTTTCTTCAATTTCATTTATCTATAAAAAAAAGTTAAAACTACTCTTTATCAATAGTATCGAAATAACAGCAAAGTTCTATTTCCATATATACTGAACTCTTGAGAAATTCGAAACTCAAACCTAAATATAAATTAAATCGATGAAACTCATTAACTATGCACCATTCAAAGAAACTAAGGGCTCCAAGGAACTCAGGAAAGTATAGGGAGCCAGGAGATCATCGGAACTCAAGAAACTCTAGAAGTTCAGGCAACTCAAGAAAGTCTAGGGGTCAAAGAACGCAACGAACCCTAGGAAATCAAGAAATTCTGGAAATCTAATAGGCATGCACCGAATCCGACTGTTGAGGTTCGATGAGTTCGGCTCAAATTCGATAAAGAATGCATCCATTTTCAGTTGATTAATGGGATGGGATAGAAGTAAACCAAAAGAAAGGCTTTACAGCTGGTTGTGCTAGGTCTACAATTAACCAAATATATGTCCCAAAGAACTGAAAGGCTACAGACTTTCTAAAAAAGGTTAACGGTATTCGAAAATATCCAATCCTAAATCCGAACGCTGAGACCAAACCCATACTTGAACCATTCTGTCCTAACTCCGAACTGAAGTTCGAGTTCGCTGCATGCCTACAACTCAAGGAATCCAACGAACTTAAGGCACTCTCGGAACTCAAGAAAGCCAAGGATATTTAGGAAACCAAGGTACCCCATGGAATTCAAAGCCTCTAAGAATCCGAGAAAGTCAAGGAAATTGAAAAGCTCAAAGGATTCATGGCACTCAAGGAGTTCTAGGAATCCAAGGAATTCAAGGAACTCGATGAAGCCAAGGAAGTCTCAAAGTTTTCAGCTACTGTTGCTCACGAGACGGCGGCTCCAATGACTCCTGCTTTCATGACTTTGCGAGGTTGATATTGGGACTTTAAAGGGAGAGGCCAGTGTGTGAGAGTGAGGGTGACTAAAGGAATAACTTGACAGTGAGAGTGTAGAGTAATATTATATTGTATTGAATGTAAGCTGAGAAGGAGGACACAGCGCAAGCGTTGTTGTCTTTAAAGGGTAAGTTGATGGTGAGAAGAATAGAAGTGCGTGGATGTCTTTAGGATAAGCTGAGAGCAGCACGGAGAAGTTACAGTTACCAGCCATTTACGTTACTGAATGATAGAAAATTGATGAGTTTGAATTTTTCCTCATACCCCAGGGTATTTCTCTGAAGTAATGACTTTTGATAAAGTTTGATATGGACCTTTTAGCTTTCCTAGAGTTCTTTGAATTTTTTGAATCCCTTGTACTTCTTAATTTCCTAGAGTTGCTTGAGTTCCTTGGGTTTCTTTTCAGTTGCGACTAATGTTTGTCAATTTTTTATTGATGTTTGAGTTCTGAATTCCTCAACAGTTCAAATTTATGGGAACGGGATACATCTCCTGGAACTCTATGGCTATACGTTTCTTTCGGGATACTGTCAATTCTTCAGAAAAAAGGATGATTTCTGACAAAATCCTGACTGAATTTGTCAAGGATCCGCACAGAAAAACCAACGATTTTTCCTAGGACACATTAGTTTCAAATGTTAACATCGTTTATATTAAAAACTAATAAATTTCAAATGACATATGATTTTATTGTCTAAATAGAGTTTAGGAAATAAATGAGGATATGCTTACAGTATCGAAATCTACATATAGAATGTTCAGTGTGTGCGTGTCTGTATCTCTTTCCATGGTCAAGGGTCAAAGGTCAAAAACGCTATAAGGAAAAGACTACAAGAACTATTATATGAAGGTATCCATAGGTCCTCAAGGACCATTATATGGAGGTACCTATAGGTCCTGATGGGCTGTTATATAGGGGTACCCATAAGTCCTCATGGTGTGTTATACGAAGGCACCCATAAGTCCTCATGGGCTACCCTATGGAGGTACCCATAGAACTCCATAGGCTGTTATATGGGGTACCCATACGCCCTCAAGGGCTGTTATATGGAGGGACGCATAGATCCTTAAGGACTATCCTATCCAGGTATCCATAAGCCATCATGGGCTATTATTTGGAGGTACTCATAGGTCCTCAAGGGCTATTGTATGAAAGTATTCATAGCTCCTCAAGGAAGTAAGGCTATAAGGTCGTAAGGCTACATGGGCTATAAAAATATATGCGATATGATAGTATGAGGCCCTAGGGCTATCTATCTATATACATAATATCAAATGTTTGCATGTCTGTTACCAAATGAAAGATCCACCGCGTGAGGTCATACGTTAAAGGAGAAAACAACCGTGCAGTATGCACGGACTTTCGCTAGTACTATTAATAATAAACTGTACAATGATCGTAGCAATTATATTTCATACTTATCTCAATATTAAATCACTTAAACATTTTACTTTATTTAGAAAAAAGCATAAATGACTTACCCGAGGCTCCTTGATTTGATGCTGTTGAAGCCCGACGCATTTCATTCATAGTTGATGCCAATGGTTCTTGATTTGATGCTATAGAAGCTCGGCGCATGTCATTCATAGTTGATGTCAATGGTTCATCGTCGTTATTATCAGGAAGTCGTTTATGTGAAGTATCGATATTACCAAGACGACTCATCACATATTTATTTAATATGTTGTTAAATGTTGATAAAATGACGATAGTTAAGAATGTGAAGCGTTAACTTCTGGCGATACAATGTATTTATTATTTGATATGCAAATATATAAGATTGAACGAAGTGTTTTTCTTGTTTTGAGCTTAACTTTTGCTTTTTTCTTCCAAAAAACGAATGGAATGAAATTTTTCTTTTAATGGTAATTTGCTTCTGTTCCCAACTAGTTGAAGTAAAACGAATAGGATTGAATCTGTTTTATTATTATTCAAGGTAGAAGAATTCTTTTTTTCTTTTCATCCTATTCAAATATTAATGTTCTGTATGATGAAATGAAATTTAATGCTGCACAAAAGAATACTGTTGCAATAGTAGTAAAAGAAAAACATTTTCTCATTCAATAAAAAAACAAAGATATGTGAAGAAAATTTATGAAATATGAATCGGTTGAAACCTAACAAATTCAAAAGTATAATAAAAGAATTTTTTTAATTTTGCTATGAATTTCAAGAAGAAAAAAATATCAAGATTTTTGCTTGTTGGATAGATGATATTCTGATTGTCTCTAAAAGACTTCTTGAAAAAAAAATACGAAGATCAATTCTAAGTTTGTTGAGAAATGTAAATTTAACAAAACATATTTAAGAAGTTATTTAGATGACTTATTACAATTGAAAAATCTATCGAAATAAATATTAAAATAGCGATCTCATAAAAATTGATATTAATTGTAGGTTTTTCTCTTGTATTTGAAAATAACATAAATAAGAAATAGGGTGTGGGTGTGGGTAGTGCGTGGGTGTGGAGTGCGGGTGGGTGTGGATGTGGGTGTGAGTATTGATCGACACAAAACACAGACGCGTCCGCACCTAGATCCACACTCTATTACGAAATGTTGTTGGTCGATGTATATACCAAATGTCCAACGATCTTCGAGTAAATGAAATGGAGTATCACTAACAGTAACATTATTTTTATCTTTTGGTGGTGATGAACTTTCGATTTTATTATTATTTTCTGATGTAATTTATCCATCGTTTATTATATTTGTTGCCATACTTCTTTTGTTTGTATTACGAATAAATAAATAAGGGTGTGGGTGTGGATGTGGAGTGTGGGTGTGGGTGTGGGTGTGAGTGTGGGTGTGGGTGTGGGTAGAGGTGTGGCTATGACTTCAGGTACACTCACACCCAGACCCACAGCCACCCACGCCCACACCCAGACCCACACCCACATCCACATCCACATCCACACCCACCCCATCAAAATGGTCACTTGTACCATGAAAATGGTCACTTGTTCCATCACTATGGTGCTTGGTACCACAAAAATGGTCACTTATACCATCACTATGGTACTTTGTAGCATTAAAATGGTCACTTGTACCAAGTGTTACAGACAGACAGACAGACCGGCAGACAGACACAGGTGAATTTCCGTTTCTAGATCCTAGCCTTTCAGTCTAGGGAAAATGTTATCTTGGTGATGATCAAATTCAATTTGAACATGTTGGATATTTTAGTATTTACGAAAAATAATCACTTTATATGTTTGAATGAGAAAGAAAAATTCATAAAACCACGTTCTAATGGATATATTTTAATTTACTGAGTTAAATTGTTCAAATAATAAGAGAAAAGAGTATGTTAATTATATGAAATGCATCGAAATGTTTCTTTCATATATGTTTAAATTATTATCAAGCGTCGAAATATAGTAATGTGTTGTGCCATGAAATGAAAACGTTCTTAAAAAAGTCTCAAGAATAAGAATTACAGGTATATCTTTTGTGGAACATAACTTACGCATTAGCCTAATAAAATGCTTATTTAATCAATTATATTCTTGAGAAAAAGTAGTCGACTACTTCTATTCGAAATTAACTTTGAAATGAACTCAAGTAAATAAATAAAGTACATATAAAACTGTATAATAAACATACAATCAATGATAAAATGACTGAAAATCGTTATTTTGATATAGTACTGCCTAGAAACACGATAAGGAACTGCAATTTTCACTATTGAGAAGAAGAGATGAGCATGCATTGAATCACGTATGCTAGTTTTTTCAAGGCTTTCAATGAACCTTTTATAAAACAAAAAAAACAAAGTGCTCAGATAGAGGACTACAACAAGTTTCTGGTATTTGGTGTGTATTTAAACTACCAATTTAAACTGTATAGAACTGCAGAAGATTCATATTTTTCCGTACGAGTTTCTGATAAGCTATAGATATTGTATTCGAAAATCAAAGATAGATTTTCGAGAAACTTCTGTGACAAAGAAATTGTTTCTCTTGATTCTTCTTTCTTTAATGAAAATTGTATTTCCAGTATTCTTTCTAGAAAATTGAGTTAAAATGTCTGACATAACATACTAGAAAAATTTCTAATATACGTTGTCCATGTAGCTTCATCTCTTCTTCTCGACAGTAAAAATTGCAGTTTTCTATCTTGTTTATATAAGAAGTTATGTCAAAAAAGAAAATAATTATTAGTAATATTGTCATTAGCATGTCAATTAAGAAGTATACATATGTATACGTTTATCAGAAAGTTTCATCTACGAAGATAATATTGCATATTATTATAGTCGAGAAATCTTCAATTGTCAGTATTTCAGTGGAAATGAATCAACAATTCAATTTCGTTTTCTAAATAAATAAGCGTGAGAAAAACACTCACACAATTTATTTTCTATCAAATGTTAGCCTAAGATAAAGAAGATAATATTTGTAGTTTATTGATGGCAACTAAATATTTTCAATTATTTTCTGGATAACTGTTAATAATCAGCGGAACTTGTAGACGAATATTGGTAAAAAAGCCACGAATAGTAGCTACGAAACGAAGTTCATAGCGTACACTAATTGGAAAATTTTTATTGTCCGAAGGAGGATAAAATGAAAAAGTTGGTGAAGCTGTATGTGGTATATAGAGTTGAAAGTTATCATGGAAGTGTATGCTTCGGAGTCGTCGAATTTTTTCCAAAGGTTTATCTATAAGCTTGAGCTTTTGACAAAGATAAGAACCGAACTCGAAATAGTGTGTGAGAGTAACTGATATGCGACGTATCATCGCTTGTTTTGGATTTTGTATATCAACTTCAAATGAAAAATTCTTCCCAACAATGGCGATTTGTTTTTGTAGAATGATACGAAGATAAACATTATTTCGATTCTTGTCTTCTAACATAAATCGCGTTGCATTAACAGGTGATGATGCATGTTTAACAGTAATGAGTATTGTTTTTTGAATGTTCCGCTTATACCATTCAGGCTTAATCAATTTAATACGAAGAAAATAATGAATATATGAATCGGAGATTCTGTTCTTTTCTATCGATGGTGGTATAAAATTATTTAGAAAGAAACGAAATGGCCATTTATGATTTTCATATGTTAGAAGAGAACTATCTTGATCACTAATAGAATATAGATTGAGTTCTTCTTTGAAGACTATTATTTTCGTTTCACTCCGCACTCCTTTGGATATAGCCTTTAGGCGGACGAACTCTCCGATCAATTCTGCATTGATACTCTTCAATCTTAATTCTTGATGATCATAATTATTAAACTCGATCATACCCGAAACGAATTGACCAGTCCAAAAAACAGTTTGATTCATCTCAGCGAATCGACAAATGATTTTTGATTCTAATCCACCACTGATGAACTTTATTAATATACAGTACTGGACAAAAGTAGGTACCCCCCTCCCTGAAGTCATACTATGCTTTATCAATTTGAGCTGATTTTTTGTGTGCATATAGGTCTCATTAAATC